GGGGGGGGGGGTTAGGTGTTGGACAAATTTGAGGTACAGCTGGTTTCGTTTGTGAGTGATTATATTAGACTCTTTGTTCAGCCCTGAATAAACCCTCAATTAGACCAAAAATAATTTTAAGGAGAGAATAATTAAAACATCAAACCTTGTGTACCTCTGGACTTCTCTGACGTTCACAAGATCAAAAACATTTCAAACCTCGTTTTGCTTCAAACTGATCAAAAACAAAAAAAAAAAAGACTGCAGGAACTGTCCCTTCATGAGAATTGCACATCATTGATAGAAAATATGAACTTTCCTATTTACAGCTAGCAGAGACCCGACCTGGGCGGACTGAGTGTTTCTGTCTGTCATGAGAAAAGTTACGAGAAACTTTCAGGAAGCCTTTCCAACATCCTCTGCAGTCACTATAAAAGTTCAAAATCACACAGAAATAAGGCAGCGTACAGCTCGAAGAACGTGCTTTCACACTGTGAACAACATGCAGCTAAACTTAAGATCCAATGTGCAACATAATTCTAAATAAATTAGAATGAGACGAACAGTAAAAGCCTCATTTACACCTATGATTTTTCTCTTTAAAAGGTCCAAAAGCCTTGGAGAACTGTCCCAAGCATTTGTAGCCTTTACACGGTCCACATGTTGCATTTACCTGGCAGTAAGGCCCGCCTCACAGCTGAGCAACACGAGATTCTACTTTCTTTGACAGTTTGGAGGAAAATGATGAGCTTAAAGGCTAAATTTAAACTAACATCTGAAAGTTAGAAAATACTGAATCTTTAATAGTATCAATGTTCCAGAAGCCTTGTATTTTTCCTCGTGTGGGGGGATCTTTGTGAGAATCACCCAACTGTGCAAGTGTTTAAGAATAATTTCCTGGTGTGCACTTAAGCTAGCAGTTTATTAGCTTATCTTTCCGTAAAGCTTTGAAACACCTGACCCCATAAGTCTACGGAGTTCTTAATAAAGCCTATGCTGGTTGTTAAGCCTTAATTATACTTTCTGCAGCCAGTCCGCTGGTATTTAAGTGACATAAATTTTCTTCGTCAGACAGTGAGTGCCAGGGTCTATCCAGACATCTGCCGACCTGCATGTTTCTTCTGACTTAATGGACTCATCTGCTGAGACATTACATTAAAATATAGCAACTCTGCCATCATGTCTCCATCTGTCCATGTCCGAGTATAATCAGGACTTAAACCAGCTAGCCACCCAGTTACACTGAAAGTGGCCAGAGACTGGTTCAGACTGAGCCAGTGCAATGCCACAGTGGCCTCCAGTCTACCTCAAATCAATTCCCATTTAAAGATGAGCTTCTCTCTGGAAATATTGTCATAGCAGACTTAACTTGTAACAAAAATGCTGGTGTTTCTTTTGGAAAATCTTACTATGTTAGTTAGCCCTGACCCTGAAAGGATGCTTGAATTCAACATTCTGACAAGTTTATTGCAATCAATTTCTGTCATGTTGTTGCAGTGTAGGTACATTTAGCCTAATTTCTCAACTTGCACAGTCAAACAATGTTTTCTTTAGCATAGCCAAGTAATTTTTCTAGCTAAGTCTAAAAAAAAAAGAAAAAAACCCTTGTGATCGTCCAATATTGTGTGACTCCAAAGAAGATACCTGCAGGCTAGACAAAAGTGGCAGTAGTAGCACTTGACGTAGAGCTCCACCTTTGGCCTTCAAGCCACTTTCATTGGTTGACACCACACATCGCTATGCTGATTTTGGATAAGCTAATTTCTAGGTCCAATGCTAAGCTAAGCTAAGCTAAGCTAAGCAGCCACTAGTCCCAGATCTACATATTTTTTCAGATATGTGGGATGTCCACATTAACAACAACAACAACAAAAAAAACAAAAAAAACGTAGCAGTACATGTGTGCTTCAACATTTTTTTGACTCATTCTTACTGTAAAAATATTTAGTATAATTTCAAGTGTAACGTTTAAAGGTCAAAATAAACTATGCATTTCTGCACCAGCAGCCCCACGTTGTTCACAATGTGAATGCAGAACTAGAAGTCTTTCTACAGCTGTTTCATAACATCTCTCTAATCTTTAATATTTTGCCTTTAAATTGTTAATAAATATCCAAAAGCATGTTAAAATATAAAAAAGGCAGATTAAGTCATGTAACTTCATCTCTCAGCTGGAAAGTTTTGATCGAAACCTCTGAGGGCTGCAGCGAGTACTCTGAGAAAATGGACAATTCGCAGAATATTGTTCAGCCCAGGTTGAACAAGGAAATGAAAAAATATATACAAACATACATAAAACACACAGAGGGTGGAGCTGCCTTCATGTCTGACCTCTGACTCTTTCCAATACAAAGCCACCAGTTTACTTTATAAAATGTATCACATGATCACCATCATTCATTTGAGACCGTTTCCTGTGTTAAAAATACAATGTGCTGATAAATCGCCCGACTCTGGTCATATATACTTTCAAATATATCCAAGTAACAGGTCAGCAGTGAAAGGCAGCCCCACCCCTCACATAAAAACACACACTTGTTAGAGTTAATTCCACAGAATAGTTAGAAACCATAACTAAGTTAAGAGTCGTCCCTTCACTGAGATAACGCAGAATACTCACTGGTGAACTCTGAGTTTGTGTTTCACTGTCAAACAGATTTCAGTGTAGTAAATCCTTTCCCCCCCAAAAGCAGCTTCTTTTTTATACCTTCAATTGCACCAAACTATATATGTGTGTGCATGTGTGTGTAATAATAGTGTAAGAAATCTGCAAATGTAACAAAGTTTAGTAGCACGTCAAACAGAAGAATGAGTAAAAAAACAAAAACCCTAAAACAAGAATTCAACATTCCCACACACGCTTGTCATCCTGGACATGACTGCACAGGAAGCTAATGCATTTATGTTTCAGAATAAAACAAATGAATGTTATAAATATAGAAACCATTTAAGATTGGTTGAGCACGAGAATAAAAATAGATAATTAATTGCCCTCCACGTAAACACGTTAATAAACTATGTGACTAAAAGTATTTGGATGCTTCAGTTAGAGGGCTTATTCATTCCCAATAGAGCCCTACCATCAAAACGTACAAATATCCCTGTGGATAAACTTTCTGGTTGAACACCAGCGTAGATTGAAGAAGCCTAAGTACTTATGGCCACAAAGCATACCATGGTAAACAGTAGTTGCATAAACAAAATTTAAAGCTTGACATGTTTTGCACCACAAGGCTTCACCAGTGTGGACGGAAAACAAACAGAGAAAACACACAAAACACACAGAACCTAACGAATTCAGTATCAGTGCATCCCGAATAATTAAAGCTCGACTGTACATAAAAACTCAAATAGTCTCTCTATCGTGCTGCAGTGTATGATTAAGAAACACTGAGATGAACCAGGAAGCTGAACTGACCTATTTTAGAAACTTCCTGTGGAGGCTGATGAAAGCTTGAGTGGTAAAACAATCACCAGCATAAATACTGGTTGAATAAAGCAGTAAAGCACTGGGATTTGACTGATATCTGACTGTTAGTGGACATCAGCTGGTCACAGTAGCTGAAACGTCACAGGCATTTTAATTAAAGAGTAACTCAAAGGATGGTTTTCCTCTTCTTACACTCACGGGATTAAAGAACGGCTCCATACCCATATTTGGAGGAAGTTTCGGACAGGTGAGGTTACACGCTCTCTGTACAAATGATACGTTTCGCACATACACAAATGCACAGAGTGACCAGGGGCAGCCAATGAGAAGAAAGCTGTCTTAAAGTGGGAGGAGCTTTATTTAATATAAATAAGGCTTATTTTTAATTTTAAATCATGCAAAGCTGGTCGTGTAGTTTCACCTGCTCACTGGGGTCATGCGATTGTTGGGATTTTGTCTGTATTACTGGAGGGTCTTTACGTTACAAGCCCCTTGACCTGACTGTTGCTGTGATTTGGCGCTACACAAATAAAACTGAATTGAACAGAATAGAAAAGTAATTTCCATGAATAAAAATCTGGAGGTTTAACTAAATTTTAAGCATCGTGCCATAAAGAGAGATGTCTCACAAGTATGACGCCAAGCTCAGTCTCATAACTCAGCTATATGAAATCTATTGTTAAAGGCAGAGCTGATGGTGATCAGCGTTTGAACTGAACATGAAAGACAGGCATCGACTCACCCTCACAACACGAGGAATCACAAGGTCAAGTTCTTCGCCTGTCAGGATTTAAACCCTGGTCAGGTGACTTGTACCCGTTTTTGAGTTACTCTTTAAAGAACATTGAAGCGACTGCGCATCTCGTTTTCCCCCCTCCCACAGCTTTGGACGCACTTGATGTGCATGTTGCATTTACGTCTCTTTAGCAGCGCCTGTCGTTGGGTTTAGTGGACATTATATTTAGACCTTTTTAATTCAGCCTGTTTAGTGTGAAACTGTCTAAAAGCCACACCAGTCAAATCCCAGAGTCCACACAGGAGTAGCTCTTTCCTATAACTGCTGGTAATAAAACTGCACATCAGGACACATCGGGGGGCGGTCAGTGCTCTTTCCTCGTGCCAGGAAAGATGAGAAATAGGTTTTCATGAACATTGTGTTTAGGTCCTGGAGGAGAGTCATACTTGGTGCATTATTCATTCATTCATTCACACCTCGGCCTTCATCCCTTTTACTCTCACCCCCTCAGTTCCAGAGATAAGACATCATAAATATGCAAAAAATTCATTCACGCGCTCACACAAGCACACAAAAACCTCCCTCGCCTTCCCTTTTTCTTCTCTCTCCTCTCCGTCCCCTCTTGTGCCCACGAGTCAGACGTCGTAGTCAGGCAGGGCGGAGTAGGTGATGCCTCCGACTGACGGAGGGCTGGAGTGGAGCGGGAGAAGCCAGCAAAAGACCGACCCTGCAAAGACGGAAAGAGAGATGAAACAGTGCTTTATGTATTTGGAGCGCCGGCGAGACGTAGGTGTCAAAAGATCAGCGCACCTCTCCCAAAGACCTCCCGCAACAGGGCCAGCTTCGGCTTGCGGGTGTGTGAAGGGTGGTGAGGCAGCTGTGAGGAGGGGGTGGAGGATGAAGAGGACGAAGAAGCCCTGTCTTTAATCATCAGCCTGTTTCTCATCTGCTCGATGGGAGTCTCGTCTGTGATTATGGAGACCAGCTGAGAGAAGACAAACCACAAACGAGGGCACATGATTTTTTTCCTTTTGTTTCTTTAAGGAGCTTCAACGTTACTGGCAGAAAACAGACAGTCGTCTTCTTAATTTCACATGTTTGACCTGCGCTACCCACCGGTCAAACATGCGATATAGTAACGTTTCTTTAACACCGTTTAGGGTTTTTAAATGACAGCAGTGTTTTACTCTACTAATCCAAAGATCTACATAATAGGAATGCAATCTGTATGTGTAGGGCTTTTATTGTGAAAGACAAAGACAGGAAGAAGCTGTGTACTGCATGAGGGATGACTTAAAACATGCCTGCATCACCTCTGACTGACTGCATGTTTTCATTAGACTGATCTCTAATACTTAAAAGTGTGTGTGTGTGTGTGTGTGTACACGTGTACCTGATCGTAGAAGATGACCATGACAAACACACCAAACAGCACCGACTCCACGAGGAGGATGATGTAATGCGCCCTGAGACAAAGAGAAGGAAACTGTCACAAGCCTGACGCTTCACCCTGAAAACCAGCCGTCACAGGTCGCTCTGTCTCACACTATCAGGTGTTTGCTGGGCGTCTCCTCGCTTTCCTTCTCTGCGTCACCGCCTCGCTCGTTCCTTATTCTCCACACCCACGCCGACACCACCAGCACCATGGAGTACAGGCTGGCCATACCTGCGCACAGACATCACGTCACAAATCACAGCCTGAGAATCTCTACCTTCACTTTTCAGACTGAGGTGAAAGCAGCAGCAGCAGCTCACCACATTCCCAGAGCGGACCTTTGTCTGCGATTTTGTGAACACCTCCAGCGTGTGAAAACTTTACACGCTGGAGGTGTTCACAAACTTTTTTTTTTTGCCTGTCCCGTTTGGCTCTTTTGCCATCAGAATTGTTGTCTAAAGGCAAAGAAAGATGCCCAACGGATTTACTTTACCAAATTGACCATCCCAGCCTTGCCGTAATGGTCCATTTGATTCACCTTTTATTGTTTATTTTATTTTCACTTGCTGAATACGGGACAGACTTGACTGGGGGAAAGAAGGGGAGAAAGAAAGAGGGAAAGAGAAACAGCTGAGAAGAGGGACGGGGGAGAAGGGCAAAAGACAAAAACCAACAGAACGGGCAGAGAAAAAAAAATGCATATATCAATCACCTGGATCACCTGCTGAGAAAGAAAAAAGAGAGCAAGCAGAAGAGAACAAGAGCAATAGAATAAACAACATCACAATGATATATGGGAATATGACAGTAAATACTAAATGTTAAACATTATTGTGCAGCACATAAGATCAACAGAACACAGTGTGCTTTGAAGTAGGAGCCAAAAAGGGTGTAGTTTGTGGGTGTGATCACCCGTGTGTACACCTGTGAGCATGGACGCGCTTGTTTTTTTGTTTTGTTTTTTGTTTTTTTAAAAGGTTCCTTCATGTAATAATCTGCTAGAGGGTGTGGGGGGGGCCACAGCCCCGTCCTCCAGGGCATGAAGCAGGTATGGAGGAGATCAAAACTCCAGACATCCAGAGGCCCCCAGAACACAAGAGACCAAGGAAGACCAACAGAGGGGCAGCCGCGCCACTGTCCCGGAAAGAGCTGAAGAGAGTCCCAGATGAGGGCTCACTCAGCAGCCGCGGAGCAGAAGCCAGGGGGAGTTGCAGTGACGCGCCCGTGAGCTCCGCCGGCAGCCAGCTGTGCCTGAGTGACCGAGCCCCAGGCCGAGAGGCCGGGGGCACCCCACCTCCGAAGTGGCCCGAGCGAGCCCCAGGCTCCAGGCGGCCGCCAAGGAGTGAGCCGGTGTGTACCTGGACGCCCATCCCCGGACACAAAGAACCACCAACGCACCGATGTCTGAGGGAGTCCGCCACTGGCAGGGGAAGTGGTGGTGGGGGGAGATAGGCCTCCAAACCTTGGAGGGCCTGAGATGTCCCCAGAGAGGTGGCACCTGACACCCAACCTGACATATAGACACAGACATACAGGCACACACAGATACAAACATCCATTCCCACCCTCATGCTCTCATATGCACTTACTCCACACTCAACCGACGTGGAGACAGACATAAAGAGACGCTGTACACACGATCACACTCCCCAAGCGTACTCTACGAACCGGGTCTAGGTGCCCCCGCCCCTGGAGGGGGGAACTGCACCCAGACCCAGGTGGTGTTTCCCTTTTCCCTGCGGTGGGGGGAGGCAGACTGCCCCCCCACCGCAGGTGTTCACAAACTTTACACAAAACTTTTGTGTGTTTTCTAAAAAGTCATCATTTCGACAGGCAGTGTGAATTGTGTGCTCACCAGTGTAGAAGAGAAACTGGATGAAATACTTCTGGTTTAGCTCCCCGACACAATTATTGATCCTAAAAATGACACACGCACATCAGAAAAGCACAGATGAGAAGATGCTGGAGAGAGCGTAAAGGTGGGGGGTGGCAGGCCGACGGACAGACGAGGGCGTGTTCTCACCAGGGACAGTGGTGGTCCATGCGGCGTATGCACCTCTGGCAGACACGGCAGTGATGCGCTCTGGGGGGTCTGTAGGTTTCGCAGCGACTGCACACCGTCCAGCCCTCGCAGCCCTGAACACAGCAGCGCAGCAGTTCATGTGTTAAAACCTCAAACACTCCCAAGTGCAGGCTGAGGGTGAGGAGGAGCAGCTGCACGTGCACCAATCATTTCTGCTTTAAAGTTTAAAAAAATAAAAAAATAAAAATCATACAATATGATCCAAACTTATAGGCATATCCTTATAGGCACGCATTCAGGGTTTCCTTTTTTGGCAGGAACACACTTTACAGACAGCTGTAAGCTCGTAAGCGCATAATAACACGCTGTGAAGCAGACACGAGTGCAGCTGCTGGGACGTGAATGAAGGCGCGCTGAGATAAACACGGTGCAAACCTGGTAAAATTACAGCTCAGAGTACAGCTGCCATCCACCGACACTCCCTCTCTGTCATTAGCGTTCAGCTTATTTTTGCTTATTTTCAAGCCACAAACATCACTGCTGAGTTCAGGGTGGGAACAAAAGTAGGAATTTGGAGCTCTTCCAGTGTTTGTTCTTTTAGCGTCAGTCTTGCTCTCATACAAGTTTTTATAATCTGTGGGATTAAAAACAACAGCTATCATTCTGGTTCTGCTCTTAGCTGTAAAGAATACATTTTTAAAGCTGCCCACTTCCCACATATAAAAATCAGCACTTTCCCCCCTCAAACCTGCAGAAATCCATCCACACGTTTCAGTTCTCCCTCCCTCTCTCACCTCCAGGTCATTAAAAATGCAGACGGCGCGGCGTCACATCACCCCGACTCGAAAGGTTTCACTGATACTGAGAGGTGAACTGCTGTCAGCCTGCAGCAAACTACGCTACAGATTAGTGACGGATCTTTTCAGTCAGTTTGGTGTAGATGAACTCGATGGATGGAAACGCAGTCATTGGTCCAAATAGGCCAGCAGCCGGCCAATTAGGTTACCCAAGACTAGGGCTGTGCGATATGACCAAAATCTCATATCCCGATATAAGAATTCTATCGTCCGATAACGATATAAATCACAAAAATGTAACATTTTCTGTAAATTCTGAATCTCGGGCAGCTCGACTTGCAGGAAGTGTTTCCAGCTGCGCGTCATGTAGCTGGAGTCGAGTGTTTTAACCGATGCATGAAACGATACATTTTTAGACATAAGTTGTAAAGGCCGCCGTTTTCTTTGTGAGTATTTATTACACAGCGTGCTGCGGGGAAAAGCCTGTTCTAACGTTTGAGTCTAAGGTTTATTTTTTAGCAGCTGACGGCTCTTTTTTGCTTCTCATCCGTAAATAACCTGCTCTTTCACGTGATTCAGTTTATTTTGAAAAGTCTCAACAGGATCTTGAGCTTTATTGTGAAAGGTTTATGTGGAACATAAACAAGCGGATACGCGATGGTTTTACCGTAGTTGTTGCTAACCACAATGCATAAAAACAGGCGCTTGTCCGTTCGTAGTGTGGTTATATTAAATATAAGAGAAAGAGAGAACTTTAGGAAATTAATATAACCACCACAGTGACCATCACAACCATGAAACAATATTGCCGTAAACAGTTTATTTTGCGACACCACGAAACAAACGATAGCGTAAAATGAAACGATAGATGTTTTTATATCGTCATCCGATATATATCGTTATATCGAACAGCCCTACCCAAGACCCTACCGTTTTTACCATCATCCTCAGCTGGCATGAACTGACACTCAGCTGTGCCGCATGTGTCTGAATTTTTATTTGACATCATCACTACAGCGACACCGGCCACACGTTTATGTTTCGTAGCGTGCGCGACGAGACGAGGCCGAGCACGACCGACAGTGAGAGCGGTGTGGGAGCCAGCGATTTAGATTTAGTACCAAAATAAAAGAGCCGCTTCAACCAAACACAAACTGGTGTGGAAAGAATTTAATAAACACCTGTCGAGTACAACCAGGCTACCAAAGAGGTGATGCTAGCAACGGGAGACGTGTGAACTGAAAGACCTGACCATGTGACCTGGAGCGCTTGTTAGCTGTGCTCCATACAACAGGAAGCTCAAGCTGCTGCTTCTTTTAGGAGTGATCACAATGGATCATCTCCATCTCACTATCACACCAACCCCTACATGTCCTCCTGGCTGGCAGCTCCATCCTCACCATCCTTTGTCTAATATATCCACTCTCCCTCCTCTGCACACGTCCGCACCATCTCAGCTCGACCTGAGCCGTCCCTCTGACGGACTCGTTTCTAATCCTGTTCATTCTGCTCACTCCCACTGAAAATCTCAGAATGACAAGAAGAGCTGACGGTGCTTTGAAATGACGGGTGTAGTTACGCAGGGATAAAGCAGGGCTCTGAGCAGCTGGTTAAGCAAGCCCAAGCCAACAAAATTACCAGGTCGTGCTGTCATCAGTGACAGCAGCTCATCAAAGGAAGGATGAAAATGCCTTTTATTTAACTGCACTTAGAAATACTGTTGTCTAGCAGGCTTCAATAAAACACTGTCCGGTATTTCCTCTACATCGTCAGAAATATCAGATTTCCCCGCTTGCAGTATCGTGATATCATTTTCAGGCTGAACTTGTTTTTCAACCTGCCGGCTCTGTGATCTCAGCCTCCGCTCATGTGAGAATCACATTCTTCTCCCGAGCGAGTGGGCGTCATCTGTGCCGCCTCCTTCCTGCTCTGTCCTGGCGGCTTTCTCCCCTAAACCACACGGAGGATTTTTCCAGCAGTCCGAACGCGTCTGATGCTGTCGTTAGGCTCTCAGTGCTACCCGTGACCGAGGAAAACTGCGGAAAACGTCCCCAAACCGATTCTCCTGAAACTTAATTTGTGTAAGTGTGCGCGTCTCATCAGGAGGATCACAAAGATTTCTGTGTTCTTGCGACTCACCCGCTCGTTCATCCGAGACGACTGAGAGCGGAGGTCCGAGAAGTCGATGGCCGTGTCAGGAAGAGGCACCATGCCTAAACACACAGACACAAAAGACATTTGTTTGGATGTTTCCACCCAGAACCCACAGCGTGTGCGTTTTCTTTTTCTTTAGAAAGATGGACTAGCAGTGAGAAACTCGTGCTACGTGTTTGTGAGCTGAATAGTGAAAGAAATTATGATGAAGAGCTGAAAAACTTTCAGAGAGGAAAGTTAGCGGTTTATAAAAAGTTATCTGCCTTACCCTGAAACAAAGGGAGACTGCTACCAGCCCTGAATGAACTATCAGTACGTTAAAAAGCGACACAGTTTCAGTTATTGTGCCAATGTACTACTTATAGGGTTGGGGAACCCTGCAGTGAGATGAGACTGAAGAAGTCATTCGGATGAGTGACCAAATGTTTGTCTCACTGAAAACGCTACGTCCAGATGAACAGAATCAACTTTTGGGGGTATAAAAGACAGACTTTAACTTTATGAGAGATAAATATGACACACAGGGCGTGTGTGTGTGTGTGTGTGTGTGTGTGTGTGTCTTACTGACCAGGATCTGAGAAAACAGCTTTAGAGTGGCAGGCTAGCAGCAGCAGCAGAATCAGGTTGAACACTGACCCGTGGAGAGTACACCACACACTGTCAGAGACAGAAGAGACATGCGATTATTACACTTCATCATTTAATCTTCTTAATAGAATTCAATTCAATTTTATTTAGATAATGCCAAATACCAACAGCAGTCACCTCTGGGTGCTTATGTTTAAGGTAAAGACCCTACAGCAGTACAATGACAGAAGTAAAGCAAGTTATTAGAGCTTTAGGGAGTCCACGGTACATTTCAATTCAATTCAATAAAACTTTATTGAAACTGAAGGTTGACCCCGAGGGAAATTGGGTAAATATCCTGTAAATGTTCATGATCACAAAAGACAAAGAAAAGCCGATTTATTTATTTATTTTTGCATTAAACTACAACTTAACTGAGCATAAGTTTCTCTGAAGGGGCTGGATGACTGCTCTGTAACTTTGACAACTTTACAATTTTAATAAAATACGTTTTACCGCAGAAATATTAGCCCTCATCAATGTCTCCTTTGCTTTCTAAATAGTCCTGGTTACAGCCAATATCATACAAAACTGCACAGAATAAGCACAAAGCACTACATTTGACTGAAAATAAGAGTACATACAAACATTTTGTGACGCTAACATTTAAAATATTTGGGTGGAAATTGAGGAAATGCGCGCTTCTCAGCTCAGGAAAGTCTGAATTTGGCATGAAGACTTGGTTAACGCAGTTTTGAATTTAGGACGAATTAAAGAGCAACTCTCGTTGATTTAGATGAAGCTGCGATTCTGGTTTTAAAGAGGATTTTTGTTCTCAGACACGCAGAGCAACTTTAAATCACCCAAAATTGTGAACGACAGCTGGACTCGTCGGCTCCGGAGCAGGCTAATGAAACGCCTCAGCTACGAAAACAAACCGAAAGCCACCTGTGATGGAGCGCGAGCCCGGTTACAAAACCAAAGACGTGAATAGGAACGCGATTAAAGCCACATTACAGTGAGAACAAACGAGATTTGATTTAGTTTCACTGCGCCGAGGGTGAAATCGTGAAGATGCCGTTACTGTTGATCTGTTTGCTGTCAAATGAATGAAGGCACAGCAAAGAGGCGGACGACATATTGAGGGATTTTAAGGGGTTTAAAAAGGCGTGAAAATGCAAAACACCCACCTGTCCGAGTACGCGGGGATGAGCACGTACTGTATGACCACATAGTCCGCATAAAACACGCTGAAATAAGTTAAAATCAGGCAGATAACGCCGCAGGGATCTCGCCTGCAGCGAAGAACCGCCATCTTCTCCCGGGCTCCACCCCCGTCCCCCGCTTCCGGGTGACGTCAGATGGAAACTTGAAGCTGCCTTCCAGGACCGTCGAGAAAAGGCGATTCATGTTTAAAGGGCCAGTTCATCTTTTTTTTCTTCAAAAGAGATTAAAGAATATTTGACTCAGCTGGTATAGTGGGGTTCAAAGACTGGATACATGTTTTCATCTTGTTTATGTCAAACTGTGACCATACCATTGGAATGTTTCAGCAGACACTGACATGCAAAAACACCAGGCAATATTTGTCCAACCTTCTATGGTCCAGTTTTGATGAGCTCAAGTAAATTGTAGCCTCAAGTTCCTTTTCTTTGCTGAAAGGAGCAGCATAAAAGACCGGTGAGGTCCTCTGCTGCTGCCAGGTTTGAAGTCAGCCAGAGACGCTCTTCTGATTTGACTTGAACTTCAGTGGGTCGCGTTGAGCACAGTTGCCCAATTCTGTCGGGTTGCTCCCATGTGATTGGCTGAATAGATTTTGTCTTTAGCAATCAGTTACAATCTTAGAAACATTGTCTCTAACTAGACACTTAATCTGGATGGCATTACCTTGGCCTCCAGTAACACAGTAAGGAATTTTTAAGCATGCTAAACCAATATATTTCTTCTATTTCAATATAATGCTTTCTTGCATTTGGACAGTTTCTCTAAAATTAGAAACATCCTGTCTTTAGCTGTGTCCAAGTTCATAGGCTGCATCCTCCTGAGGACCCGGCCTTCACAGTCTATGTGGACCAGGTCCTTCGAAGGCTGGAAGTGAGTGGCTGTGAAATTGGACCGTCTAGTCTTCAGATTTGCATCACCAGCTGTTTCAGTGGAGTTTAATGAACTCAGCCGTCTGCTCCTTGCTATCTAAAATATAACAGGATATTGGTGTAACTTCTCAATCATGTCACACTGCTGTTTAATCAGTTTTCCGTTTGACATTTATTTAGCTATAATCTCAGCCAAACCAATTTACTCACAAACAAATAAAACACTGAAAAAGCTAAACAATAACATTTTTAGGTTATCTAAGTGAATATATTATATTATATTATGTTTAACCTGAGTAGCGAAAGACCACGGGGGACTGAAAACAATGTGCTGGGAGTTTGCTGTTCTTGCCGGCTCTAGTGAGCCTTGATCCCCCGGCTAGCTATCAAGCTGGTGGGTAACAGACGTCTCCGAAAAAAGTTAGAGCACTTTTGCAAATATTGATGTCTTAATAAATCGAGCAGATATTTGAAGTTTACACACCTACATTCTCGCCTGAAAATATGTTAAAAGTTTATTTTGTGACCCAGAAAGAGGAATAAGAGTAATATTAAAACTAAGTAGTTTCTGCCATTGTTGGAAAGTGGAATTGGCTGGGCTGCACTATGAATTCTGGGATATGGTGGGCCATGAAGGATACACCCGACCCATCCTTCAAATCTGGGGAAAAGGAGGATGCGTTTGTCTGCTGCATTTGGAGGAGTCTACGAATCGGGACAGCCGTCGACGCGTTGCTGTGACGTAATCGACCTACAAATGCAGCCTCAGGAGGATGCAGGCTATGAATTTAGACGCCCACTTAGAATGATGCTGAAAATCTAATTCATGCATTTATCACTTCTAGGCTGTACTACTACAATTCAGTATTATCAGGTTGTCCTAAAAACTAAAGTGCTGCAGCAAGAGTACTGACAGGGACTAGAAAAGAGAGAGCATATTTCTCCCATACTGGCTTCCCATTGTTGGCTTCCTGTTAAATCCAGAATTGAATTCAAAATCCTGCTCCTCACATACAAGGTCTGAATAATCAGGCCCCATCTTATCCTAATCCATATCACCCCATTAGAACACTGAACTCTCAGCCTGCAACCTTACTTGTTGTTCCTAGAGTATTTAAAAATAGAATGGGAGGGAGAGCCTTCAGTTTTCAGGCCCCTCTTCTGTGGAACCAGCTTCCAGTTTGGATTCAGGAGACAGACACTATCTCTACTTTTAAGATTAGGCTTCAAACTTTCCAAGCCTGGCCAGCTCAGTTGGAAGAGCATGAGCCTCTTAATCTCAGAGTTGTCGATTGGAGCCCCATGTTGGGCACTCCTGTTGCATATTTGTCCTTAGGGATTATTACATTATTTTAATAAATACTACATAGTTTTATATAGTATAAAAGGATTTTAATAACCCATATAGTTAGGGTTGGATCAGGTGACCCTGAATCCTCCCTTAGTTACTCTGCATTAGATCTAGGTTACTGTGAGATTCCCACGATGCACAGTTTCTTCTTCAGTCGCCTTTTTTCACACACTGTATATTTAAATATTAGTTGTTATTAATCTCTGGCTCTCTTCCACACTATGCCTTTGTCCTGTCTTCCTTCCCTTAACCCTTAACCAGCTGTGTCAGATAGCCACCCCTCCCTGAGTCTGGCTCTGGTGGAGGTTTCTTCCTGTTCAAAGTTTTTCATTCCCACTGTTTCCAAGCATCTGCACATAGTGGGTCATCTGAAAGTTGGAACTTCTTCTTAAACCCTTCAGTATAAAGCCCTCGAGGTGCCTCCTGTTATAAATTGGTGCTATATAAATAAAATTGAATTGACCTGAACCGATGTATCTAATGAAGTGGCCGGTAAGTGTAGGCAGCTGTTGATTCGAAGCAGTTTTGGACTTGCACCTGAAGGCAGCATGAACCACAGATAGGAACAGTTATGAACAGCAGGTGGCAGTAGAAGTGTGTGCGAAGCTGACATTCACACACCGTCGCTCCTCCCTTGAAGGAGGCAGAAAGCTGCGCGTCATCCTCTCCGTGCACTTCTTCTTCTGTGCTCACTTTGTCACTGTGTGTTTGTAGTTTGTTCACTTCAGCCGCCTGCAAGTTAAACCGCCGTTCCTCTCGGATACAGTTCCTCCACTTCGAAGTCAAACCTCTTTACTTATTTTTCTTTCGAGAAGTTTATTTCATTGTGAAGAAGCTCGACGAGGATTAAAATATATATATATAGTAGAAGGCAGTAGTCAAAGAAGGAGGAGAATAAAAAGTGACAAACCTGGAGGAGGAACAGGGCGTTCATACTTCGAAGTAACCATGGAAGTTCCTGGTATGCAGGTAAGGAGAAAGGTGGACGTGCTGCTGCTGCTCTTCTCTGGGTTTTCAATCGTCCTCATGAGAAAACTGAAGCGGGTCTTTATGAGAAGTGGAGGGGAGATTGTGCAACTGCTGCTGCATGTTTCTTTCTTTTGTAAGAGTGATTACCTGTTGTGTATATGAGCCATAGGAACATACTAACATACAGCGCTGTGTATTCAAATAAACAGACGTAGGTCTCCACATCCAGTTAAAAAAAACATCAGGGAAAAGTGACTCGTCAGATCTTCTCTAGCTGTGGAAAATGAGTTTATGGTCCAAATCTCACATGGTGTCTAATTGTGTATTCATACCTGTTTATTCGACCTTTGATGTGCATGTGCTGACTCATAAAGTGATGTAGCTTCCCCAGATTGTGGCTCTGCGCTGTGAAATGAAGCTACACTTGTGTAAAATGTAGCTTTGGTTCCTTAAATTGAGCTGGCTTTTATTTTATGGTGTCTAAATCCCTTAAGTTTTGGCATTATATTTACATAGTTGCTCAATACCTTGCTCTATCAACCTTTGTGTGTTTACATCTGTAATAAGTGTAATTCCAATACCTCTATACCAGCTTATATCATAACTTTGGTGCTCAAAGTTTAGTTTACAGGGCCTTTTCTCTTGATGTGACCTATAGTGTGGATTTAATGACCCATAAAGTTATTTAGCTTATTGAAATTGTGAGGTTGTGGTATTTTATATCGTTTAAAGTGTACTCATAATGGAACTCTGGGGCCACAAATTGAGTTTCCTTTTTATTTTGTGCTTTTTAAATCACTTTAAAGTTGGGTGTTTTACTCAAATAATTGCTTAATAATGTGACTTAACTTCTCCAAGTCGACTTGATAATAACCTTGCGTTATTATCATCTATAATAAGTATAACTATAATCTATACTAGCTTATATTGTGACTTTGGTGCTCAAAGTTTAGTCTAAATTTTGAATTGAAGTTTTTGTTGCATCAAGTGCGCCTAGTTCTAATGTTTAAATCTTTTAAATGAAACTGTAATCTTCATAGAAAGGTTTATAAGGTGGCTCGGCTTCTACAAAATAAGCTTACAGTAACTTTTTAGGGTGTTTTTGTGTCTTCAGTGGTAACTGTGATACTTGCATACACATAGTTCACAGTGCCCTTACCTCTTAATGCGACCTATAATGTGTGTATGATGATTTATAAGGTGACTTTTAGCTTTCTGAACTAGTGAATTTGTAGTGTTTATACAATTTAAGGTGTACCCATGATGTCTCTCCGGTTCCCTAAAACGAGTTTTATTTCATGGTGTTCACATTTTTTAAAGTGAACTAATATTTATTGATATTACCTCATTATTGAGTTTACTGTATGTTTAAGGTGGTTACAGCTGTAAAAGTGTGAAAATAGTGTTTCTGTAGTGGCTTATGTGTTGGCTTTGTTGCTTCATATGTACTTTACAGTGTCGTGTAATGTGTCACGATGGCTTGTGTTGTGACTTTGTTTTACCAACCCAAGGTGAAGTGTGACTGTGGTTTACGTACCGTCGGATATATACATGCGATGAATTACAGTGTGACTCTGCTGCTGTATAAACGAGTTTATTTAACTCTCTTGTGTATTTAGGATTTAAGACTTCTGAATAATCCAGATTTACCGTGACTTAATGTGCTGCTTGTAATCCAGGCACACTTTATGATGACACAATGTTTCTGCCTCTTATCACATCCATATATTTAGTTATTATCAGCTGATATCGCAGACTCACATTATATTGACCTTAATTCTCCTGAACCTGATGTATTTTCTGATTGTATCACTTTTGTGTTCATGTAATGTTTCCATAGTGACACATTTTATAGTCCTCTGTCTTTATCTCCTTAATGATGTGAGCTATGCGTAACTCAAAAGGTGTGTCTAGCCTTCATGATTTCCCGTAACACTCCATGTGTTAATGGCCCATTCTGTATCTGTTGCTCAGGAGCATTGATTGATATCTTTTATAGGACATCCACTGCCTTTAGTCTAGTTGATTAAAATCTACTCTGGGATCATCCTTCCCTTGGAAGTCATATTAGAGGAAAATCTTCAGGTATGCCAGACTTGTGCCAGTAAGAAACAAAAGGTGTCTAACGTGCACTAAAAGTGTGTAAACGCCTCCAACCTGTTGCTCAGCCGGCTTTCAGGTGTGTCTACCTGTGGGACTGGCTCGCCGTGTCTGCTCTGTGCGTCCCAAGTGGGCGGGGCCACAAATGGTGTCACAGGCTGCTTACATCAACACACCCAACGCCTGGCACCAGCTGCCACAGCATCGAGACAGACAGCAAGGTTTGCTGCCAGTAAGAGCAATGATGCATAGTGGAAAGTGCTGTGCAAGACTGGAGCTACCTGATCAGTCAATTAGGTGATAGGATATTTATCACTTGTTGGGTAGTTATTCTTTTAAGCATAAATATCAGTTATGGTGACTTTCAGATTGCTTTAAAAAAAAAAAAACCCCCAATATGTATATATTTGCTTATGTGGCTGGGAATTATGTATTGTTGGCCTAAATGTATAAGTAACTTTGCCACTTTGATCTCTGGTAGCTTAAAGGTGATATAAATAATTTTTTATGTTAAGGAAGAATTGAATCGCTAAGTGCGTTAAAAGGGTGCTTATATTATAACCACTTGGAAATAATACCAGAATTTGTAGTGAAGATGAAGGTACCTAGCATCACTATAATGCTAACCAACTGACCATTGGCATCCAGCGTACAACTAGACATGCAGTGCAAGCTGCTGTGGCGAGCCCTTGTGACAAGATTGGTTAGCAAGCTAAATTTATAGTGTATGAAAGTATCAGGTGATAAGCGTTTTTGCTAATTTCATGCTAACTAAAAGAAATGATAAAAACTTTACTAAAAATGATGATAATAACAAAATGAATGGGCTAGTGGTCTAATAAACTGCAAATCCAGTAATTGTATTTAGCAGAAAATGGATTAAAGGTGTTAAAGTGTTAAAGTCATGAATAGAGTCAAAAGGTCCAGTACAGTGACTTGAATTAGCCAAATGGGCAAAGTTACCTAAGCTAAAGGGCTTGATATTTTTTCCCCAAAGCAAAACAAACTCAGAAGAGGAAACAACATATCTGTTTCGCATAATGTCTAAAACTTGTTTTGACTGCCCCTAGGTAGCCAAAAATTCCTTTTAAATCAAGTTTAAGACGCATGGTTGCCATTATTGCAACATTTGTTGTTATTAGACAGCTCAAAAAATAACCCAAAATTTGTGCTGGAGTGCCTCATTTTGTAAGAATTATCCTGTAACAGGTGGGGGGGTATTTAGCTTAAATGAATGAGTTTACAAAAGCGGTACAGTAGCATAATGGATGATTTGTGGCTCAGGATATCAGTTTCACACATACTTTGAACCTCTAGTTCCTCTAGTCCTTCCTTTCTGCTATCAGTGGAAGCTGCTGAGAGATCCCAGCTCCGTGGAAAATGTTGTGTAAAGCCTGAACAATATCACTCGGCTGACTCTTACGTTGGTTTCTGGCTTGTGACCATGATTCAGAACCTCTTTTGAAAGAAATCTTACATAATCCAGAAAAATAAGCTTGATATCATTTGAAACAGTGCTATCATTATAATTACACAAGTGCCCCCAGCTGACTCCTTTGTTTATGTCTTTTACAGTCTGTTACGAATAATAAGTTCACTGTCTGACTGTGATATTTGCTGCCTTGGGCATCACATCGTTGTGTCAGCTCTTTCATGGGTTTCCACACTATGTTAAAATGGAAATGACTCTCTTAACAAATGCCCTCAAAAATACATGTTTGTTATATTGAAACGCTTTCTTCTTCTTTTTTAACCGTGCAGACATGGCAAAACGTAAGATTTCCATTTTACCAACATGGGGGGAAAAAAAGGAAAGCACAAGGTATTCACATCTGAGATCACTGAACTTATAAAGTGATCGACAAACTTCTTCTCTAATATCAATAGTCCTACATTACGCAAGGTTAGGCGAGGCCTAATCTTCATTGATCATAAAATCTCATTAGCGGGATTGAACGCTTAATTAGTGGAAAATTTTGCAATGTTGGGATATAAAAATTGTGTTTATTTTTCCACAGAATCCTAACACCGTGGGCGAAATTCCATCTTTGGTGAAATGTACAAATTTCCACTGATGCCTAAAATCAAATCTAGTGGCGCCACGAAACACAGCTACTAATGTATGATGTCACACTTGCAAATCAGAAGCATCTTGACAGTATGGTTTGAGTTGTTGATTGTCACAGAAGAAAAATCCAATGACTCAGCTGGCACTGTGATTGATTGCGTGCTGGCAGGTATGCAGGAACATGTTTTTATGATGTTTGTTCTTTCAGTAATGGGCTTTCAGTTTTAGTGCCCCATGGCAGTTTAAGGAGGTCATTCCCTGTCAAACAGAACAAACTTGAGGCAAATTCCACAACTTAAAGGTATTTCCCCAAGAGTTTGATTCTGGACATTTGCCTACCTTCCTCCTCGGGCTCCTGCCTCATGCTACACTAATAAATTTTGTTGATCTAATATGAATTTATGTTTAATTCGCAGAATATTATTAGAACTGTCACTCTGTTGGGCTTTGAACTAAACATGACAGTTTAGTTGAATCACATATTTTGTCAATCCAGGGAATCACCCTCAAAGTCAAATATACTTAGGATTTCCAGCCAGCCTTCATTTGGCCAAGAAATGGCAACCAGAGATGTATCAGTCCTACTTCCTACAGTTCTGATCTGATATAGATCAATGACGTTGGGTATCAGCTGAAATCCAGTAGTAATCTGATAGCAGTGTCACATTAATGAGCTGTGATTATGTTTTAAAAAAAAAAAGAACCGGGAATCGTTCTTTTGTGTAAGACAATGAATTGAACACTGGTTTCGTAACTTCGTAACTACAAAACAATTATCTCTACAAATATAAACTGTACTGGTAATAGGTTTTTCTTTTGTTTTTTCTAAATT